CTTGTTGCTATCAGGTACGTGCCGTCGACGAAATCCGCAACAGAAAGAAATAGTGGCAGAAGCCAGGAAGCAGGAGGAGAGGAAGGCCTCCACCGCTGAGACGACCGAACCTCCACGCCCTCGAGAGTCCCACCGATTGCAATCAACCCACAGTCGTAGCAGGGAAACGGTTGAGGGATGGAGGAAGCAAAGGACAAAAGAGCCCAAAGACGACTACGAAAAGGAAGTCATGTGCAAAAGCATCCAACCCCCATGGCCCCAGTGAGTTACCTCCGGATTGCAATCAACCCAGAATCGTAGCCGGAGAGCTCCAGAGGGACAGAGGGGAAGAGGGTCAAAGGGAGCCCTAAGTCAAAAAGGACAAAAAGGTAGAAAGTCTCAATTAAATGGCCAGCAACCTGTCCAAGTGATGTTGAGGAAGGTGTGCATGGTGAGGAGTCTTAGGACAAACTATTGGAATTGACCAGGGCCCTCGCTTGTGTAGTGGTCGCTATTTGTGAGTTGGTCCATGCTAGTGGCACCCTCTTAGTGTAGACGGAGGGGCGTGCGTGTTCTTTAGAAGGGGAGTTCCCCACGAGCAGCCGTCTATGTCGGGTGTCTTTTACTGAGCTCTGGCTCACAGGGTTTGAGAGGTAGGCTCTGAATCCTACATGGTGTCAGAAGCACGTGGTGGGATATGGCAAACTCTGATAGCACAACCGATTCCACACCCTGGAGAGGCATCGCTTTACGCCAGCCTGACAGCTTCGACTTTTCGAACATGGAACTGTGGCCCTCCTGGCTATCGCAGTATGAAGACTACGCCTTTGCATCGGGTCTTTCCTCGGCACCTGAAGATGTTCAGGTAGGTCTGCTACTTTACTGCATCGGATCGGAGGCCCGACGCTTGCTGCAGTCCTTTTCACTGTCCACTGATTGATTGATTACGGGCTTTATGGCGCAAAGCTACTATGGCCATACTGCGCCAAGCTTGTTTAGTTGGGACATACTCAGGTCTTTTTTATATGAATTATCGAAAAGAGGTTTATATGACAAGGTTAAAATTCATAGAGTAAAAATTACAACTCTAGTAGGAAGCCGGTTTTTCTTAAGTAATTTATGATACGATCAAATGGTACTATAGGAGTCTCGCCAATTAGCAGCGCTGGGTGAAAAGGAATCTGGTGGGAAAAAAACTCGGGGAAATGTGTACGTCGTTCTTGCTCAAGCCCTGGGCACAGCCACAAAATGTGTAAAATTGTCAAACGCTCCCCACATTCATCACACAGGGGTGGGGCTTCCCCCTGAGCAGATGTTTGTGGGTGAGGAAGGAATGTCCAATTCTAAGACGACACAAAAGAACTTCAAGGCGGCGGGTTTTGTGGGATGCACTCTCCCATATACCAAGAGCTGGTTTAATCCTGTGAAGTTTGTTTTCGCATTCCAGACTCCACTCCGATTGCCATAGCCGGAAAACTGATGATTTCACCAAGGGATTCATGTCTTGAAATGGAATCTGTGAGGTGGTTGGCAGTAGGTGCTTAGAGCTCGTGGCCAATTCGTCTGCTCTTTCATTACCTAGGATCCCCACATGGCTAGGCACCCAGCAGAATTTTATGTCTCGGCCAAGCTGCAGACCACATTGTACCTTAGATCGGACAAGTTGTGCCAGTCTATTTTTACTTCCCTTTATTGAGCAAAGTGTGGTGAGCACACTTTGAGAGTCCACGAATAAAATAGATTTCATCGTCTTGCTGATGAGGATATATTCCAAGGCCATCAACACTGCATAGAGCTCTGCCGTGTAAATACTTGCACATTCCTTGAGACGCTGAACCTTACTGAATCCTTCAGAGTAAACTGCTGATCCTACAAAATGCGATGATTTAGCACCATCGGTATAAAATTGGGAGTAGTTATCATACTTCTTCTGCACCTCAAGAAATTCTTGTTGAATCACCACAGGGGGGACGTTATGTTTATTAAATCTAGTAAAATACCAATCACAAAAGACGGGCAACGTACTCCACGGAGCTTCATTTTCACCCTTCTGCAAAAGGTCGGTCTCGTCAAGGGTGAGGTCAAGAGATGTACAAATGCCCTCAAGGCGAAGACTTAAAGGCGGTACAACCCTGGGCTTATGTTCGAAAAGACGAGCAAACCGAGAATGTTGCAAGGCACCATAAGTTGGGTGATTTGGATAGGACAAAATTCTGGAAGCATAAGTCACAGCAAGATAACGTCGTCTGTGCCTAAGTGACATCTGATTAGATTCAGCGTACAAGCTAGGAATGGGCGATGTGCGGAAGGCGCCTGTAGCGAGCCTTAAACCGAGATGATGCACAGGATCCAACATTTTAAGTGCAGAAGGCCTCCCTGAGTCGTAAACTATAGCACCATAGTCTAGACGTGACCGGATAAGGGAGTTGTACAGGCGTAGCAGACATATTCTGTCGGATCCCCATGACTTGAGCGCTAAGACTTTAAGAATATTAGCCGATTTAAGGCACTTCTTCTTCAGGTTCTTCAGGTGGGAAACGAAGTTTAACTTTTTATCAAACGTTATGCCCAAAAATTTATGCTCCGTTTTTACACTAATAGGAACCCTGTTTAGTGTCAGTTCTGGATCTAGAAACAGCCCCCGACGCAGAGAAAATGGCACGCAGATAGTCTTCTCAGCTGAAAACTTAAACCCATTTTCGTCAGCCCACTTACTAATTCTGTTGATGGTAAGCTGCAGTTGCCGCTCACAGCTAGACAAATTACAAGAAGAGGCCGAGATGTGAATATCATCCACGTAGAGGGAGTATGAAACGGAAAATGGAATTACCTTTGACAACGAGTTTATCTTTACGGCAAACAAGGAGACACTCAGTACACCTACTTGCGGAACACCATTTTCTTGGACATACTGGTCGGATAGTGTGGTGCCGAGTCGAACTTGAAAGGAGCGACCTGTGAGAAAACTGCTTATACACCGCAACATGCGACCACGCACCCCAGAGGCATATAAATCATGAAGGATACCATACCGCCATGTCGTATCATATGCTTTCTCCAGGTCGAAGAAAACAGAGACACAATGTTGCCTATTTATGAAAGCTTCACGTATTGTTGTTTCCAGGCGGACTATGTGGTCCAAAGTAGAGCGCCCTTCTCGAAAACCACATTGGTTATTAGCAAAGAAGTGGTTATGCTCCAAAATATAAATTAACCGCCTATTAATGAGGCGTTCAAAGGTTTTGCCAAGGCAACTCGTTAACGCGATTGGACGATAACTACGGGGGTCCGAAGGGTCCTTCCCAGCTTTCAGCAAAGGAATTACATGCGCCTGTTTCCACATTTGAAGAAAGTAGCCTGCTTCCCACAGATAGTTAAACAAATCTAGTAGTGTGTTGAGCGATTCTCAAGACAGTTGACGGAGCATTTCATAGTGGATTCCATCAGGGCCCGGAGCCGACCTCTTCTTGGAGCCCAGAGCCACCTCTAGTTCTTGCATTGTAAAAGGAGTGTTGTATGGCTCAGAGCTACAACCGGACATGGGTATACGGTGACATTCTGCATTTGCTTTAAAACGTTTAAATTCCGTCCAATAATTTCGGGAACTGGAAACATTCTCGAAGTGCTGTCCAAGCACATTAGCAACATCTTTCAGCGAGTTAGCAGGGGAGCTAAATAGAGGAACAACAAAGCAACGGTAATCCCCTTTGATTTTTTTGCACCTATCCCAAACTTCCTTCTCTGAGACAAAACTATTTAGGGAGGAAATATACCTGGTCCAGGACTTCCACTTAGCTTTTCTCATAGTCCATCGGGCCTTTGCTTTTAGTCTTTTAAATTCTATCTTATTTGAAGGAGTAGGGTACCTCCGAAAGGTGTCCCATGCCCTATGCTGCTTTTTCCTTGAGGTGGCACAGTCTTCATTCCACCAAGGCCTACACCTCTTGGGTAAATTTTCGGAGGTGCGAGGAATGGCGTCTTGGGCGGCACTTATGATTTGCTCCGTAACATACACTGTCGCTTCTTCAGGTGACAAATTTGCTAGAACTGACGGGTCAAGCACTGCATCAAGTTTAAAGAGTGCCCAGTCGGCTTTGTCCAGTTTCCACCTAGGGGTTCGTTTTAAAATAGATGGCAGAGGAACGAGGCTTTCAATTACAACCGGGAAATGATCACTCCCAAAAGGGTTCTTTAAAACCTTCCAAGAAAAGCAGGGAAGTAATGAAGGTGATGAAATGGAGAGGTCGATGGATGTGAAGCAATTATGAGTGGAACTATAAAAAGTTGGTTCTTTCTTATTTAAAAGACATACGTCTGAGGACAATAAAAATCTTTCTATAACAGCGCCACGAGAGTCAAGGCGCTTACTGCCCCACATGGGACTGTGAGCATTAAAATCATGAAGATGCAGTTGACGATGAGGTGGCAAATACAAGGACACAACCGTAATGAGACGATCAGCAAGAACACGTACCGCAACAGCTTCTAGTGATGTACGCAAAGGAACTTCCACACATGCTATGCCACTCCGTACAACAATGGCAACACCACCTGAAGAGTGGTCTGAATCCCGATCCTTTCTAAAAACGCGGTGACGATTAAAAACATTTGTATGGGTGTTGTTAAAGGAGCTGTGCAACGATTTTAACGTTGAAAGAATTGGCATCTTCTGCTTTTGATATTGTTCACCTTGTCACAAATGACAGAAAACACACCCCCTTTCATCGAAATGTTGCGATTTCGCCGCGTAATCGCGAGGTAAAAATTAGAATATTCCCAGACCTGCAGCCGCGAGCGGCCGCCATGGGAAACACGCGCGTGACGTCACTTGGGTGCCTGTATAAAAGATATAAAGTTCTGCAAATACCTGCTCAATAAAGGGTATCTTTTCCATAAATATTGCCGTCCCAACAACATAAATGCTTGAAAAACGTAGTATCAATTACAGAAATTTTTAGTGGCGCCATCTACCCGAGGTCAATAAAACCGACAGCTCGAGCAGCATCAGCGGCTGCTAGCACGAGGAGCCGAACGAGCGCTTTGGTTTGGTTTTCCGCCGTGTCGATCTCGACTTCGAACGTCGCCGCTCGGCAATGCCGACCGGGTGCTCCGTTCTCCTGTGTCCTAACCGGACTGCACAAAGCCCTCTTGTCCGTGCTAAAAAGCTCCAGTTCCATCGTTTACCACGCGAAGAACGTCTCAGAAGTGAGTGGTGTGGAAGGATTGGTAGAAGGGACCCTGGACAGGCAGACGTGCGCGTGTGCTCCGAACACTTCGACAGCGACCACGACTACCGTCGCCTGCCAAGTGTTCTTCGCGATGCCGGGCAGACGATGAAGAACGTCTACCTGAAGCCAGATGCTATTCCTTCGCTCCGACTGCCCCCCACTGCGAAGCGCCTCTCCCCTGCCAAGGACCCAGCCGTGCCAACGTCGAAGCGCCGAAGAACTGAGGTAAGTGTCGCACGTTCGCGAGCGGCACACGGTCGTGAACCTTTCGAGCACAGGTTTACGAACATTTTTGCTTTTGCAGAACGATGAGCCGGTGGAGGTGGATTGCTTCGAGAGGACCACACCTCGCGAGCACAGCTGTCATTGTCGTCACCGACCGGCGACACGCGACACAGCGGTCCAGGCCGACCTGCATGAAAATCCGGGACCCGCACAGACTCCGAGGCCGCCTGGCACGAAGGACAGTTCTGTGGGCACAGACCGATGGCTGGGAAAGCGATCTACCGGTACGCATCAAAAAAAGCCGCCTGTATTCGCGTGCTTGACGTCATATTGCAGGAGAAACTGTAGGAAGGGTCTTCATTGCTCTGCCAAGTGCCTTCCGACGGCACTCCACGCGAATATTGACAATACTGCGCGAATGTGCTTTTTTTTTTTTTTTTTTTTCGCGTTTGCATGGTGTTTTTGTTTTTCTATGCGGTTTCATTTTGCTTCGAGCTCAAACGATTTTGAATTCCTTCTTGCTGTGGAAAGTGTCGAACATTGCGTCCAAAACTCCACCTTTCATGTGTTTACGGGAAGAAAAAGAGAGGAAGGGGTAATGCATTCCAGAATGTAACACTAGCCCACGCCATGACATCTACTGCCCCCAGAACTTGTGGACAAATTTCGAACGAGCACATAAAGTGCCCTCAGATGACACATATGAACACACTTGATGGTACACCAGCAACAGCATAAATTCTACGCAAATTTAGTACTGTACTATTTCTTAATTTAACTGGGACATGAGGGATGTAGTCTTATTCCTTCTTGTCGTTAGGCCAGGTAAACCCTATAAACGTGCTGCTGCTTGTTGTAGGTAACTAGATAATAATAATAATCTCTAGCAAAGGTAGCGGTACACTAGGTGACCTGCAAAGCTAGACAGATAGGCTGGAGCCCTTACTTATCAGCGTTTGCTAGCCAGCCAGCCGAAGCAATAGAATGCAAATTAAAACAAATAACGAAACAAAGGAGAGGCAGGTAACACCGCCTAGATACAAAGTCCCAGTGCCGGAGCCCCCAGCACCATTCGGGACGGGAAAACAGAATATTTTTTCCAGCCGAGCCCAAATGCCATGCCAGCGCGACTGAGACACTTTCAGCCGAGCACCGGCGCAATACTCTCACCAGGCCCACACCACACACCGCCTAACTGCAGCCGATGCAGGGGGCCGGGGTCTGGGCCCTGTATCCAGGCGGCATTGCGGAAGGCACATGTTACCTTGAAAGCTAACACGAAAGTCAGTGTGCATGCACAGCCCTGGTTGGCCTTCACCTTCTTTGACTTTCCATTGTATTTCACTCTCCAGGTCTAGGTTGTCGTTTATTTCAATGTGGAATAACCAAAAAATTTTTACTATTCGAGCGTGTTGGTGCTTTTCAAAACATTTAGGAAGTGGAGACACATAAGGGACGTCCCTTATGTGTCTCCACTTTCTAAATGTTAAGAAAAAAAATGTTACTGCTAGAATGCCATTTTGTGGAGGCTTGTACTAGTCAAACAGGATGAAGAGTCGGATAAGTAAACCTCTTTTTGCCCTTCAGGCACGCAGTGGAATGCCTACGCCAAAGGTATCACCGCCCACTGGGTACAGACCGAGGACTTGGAGACACCCGACAGTAGCAGCACCACTGCCGGCAGCAACAGCACAACCACTGCCGCAGCCTTCGCCTCCACCACCACTACCTCTGCAGTGCCACCGCGAAGACCGGGCCCAGCATGTGCAATGAGCCCTGTCCTCAGTGATTCGGACGAGGAGGAGGAGGAAGAAGAGGACGACGACGACGGCGACGACTGCGACGATGACCCTCTGTGGGAGCCACCCACCAAAGGAGGCTTTGTCGAGTAAGAATGGTTTCCTCTTGGGATGAGGCAGGCTAAATATGAATGAACATTTACAGCTGGCACCAATATGTGCTGGCACATGTCTTGTGCTAGCTGAATTGATCAAAATGCCGCTTAGGCTGCCCCTTGCATGCCGAGTCACAGAACCAAACACCACAATGCAGCAGTAAGGGACCTAGTGCTCCTAGCATGGCATTATTGCCTCCTGCCTGAGTACCCTTGTTCCAGCTTGTACTGCTGCTTAATTTACCAATACAACGGATCAAGAGCAGGCCATAGCAAGAAGAACGAGAAGTGTTCCACACGACTGTGGTGGCTTTGCTATTGATTGCAAACCTTTCGGGTCGTATGTTTCACAGCACAGAATTTTTTTTTTCTTTTCAAGAACAGGTAGGGGTAGTTGCCAGTGCTTTGCAATGGTTTCACATGCTAACAAATATACGAAAAGACAACATCAAATTGTGATCCCAACTTATTTTATGTAAATATCAATCTGAATTTTAAGGGACCATAAATAACAAATAAATAAACTTGACTAAACCATTTTGCAAATTCTTTTTGGAAGTTTGTTATAAGTAGGGTTCATCTTGGACCGAATGTTTCTGAAATTGTATTAGTGAACGGTTCAGAAAATGAACAAGGCAGCATTGCTCCTTTAGTTTTTGTAAGCCAAGCACAGAAGTGACTGTTGATCAGTAAGCACTCACAACTTTTCCAGGAGTGCCACCACTGTGTCCGGAGAGCCAGACTACAAAGAACGAAAGTTCCTCGTGTTTGAGAGCAGCCTGCGGCAGTTGTTTGCGGTCTGCCAGACGTGCTACAGCCCCTGCAGTGTGTCACTGAGCACGATTGGCACGCTCCTGACGGTGCACACCTCTTGCCCCGCTGGGCATAAGAACCGTTGGGACAGTCAGCCCTACATCAACGGCAGGCCTCTGGGGAACCTCCTCATCACCAGCTTCGTCCTGTTCACGGGGGCCTCCCCAACCATCACGCTGCGCCTGCTCCGCCTAATGAACATCGTGGTGATCTCAATGAAGACATACACAAACTACCAGCGGGCAATTTTGATCCCAGCTGTTGAACAGGTGATTATGATGCTATCTTATGAGCATTATCTGACATGCTTTTGTATCCCAATGCAGTGTTTGACCACACTGCTTGCTAAAGTACCAAGCATTTTACTTTTATCTCCCACAGGTGTGGGAGGAGGAGCAGGAGAAGCTGTTGGGAGAGCTCCGTGACCAACCCCTTGACCTTGCTGGTGACGGGAGGTGCGACTCCCCGGGCTACAGCGCAAAATATCTGACGTACTCTCTTCATGCACCCCACGTGAACAAGATCGTTCACTTAGAACAGGTTCAGGCAGGAGAGGTAAGGAAGGGATCCATCGTCCTCATTACAATAACATGTAATTTTGTGAAACAGAATTAATACACTCAGTTGCACAGCAAAGCTTCTAACTAAACCTAATGCTTTTGGCACTTTTTGTGTTTGGCAATGTCATTTGGCACTGTTGTGACCAAAGCCAGGTCGTCGTGGCTTTCGGCAACTTGGAGTGATTCTGAAAAACACAAGCAGGCAGCTTTTATTTTTTTATACTTCGGGTTTTTTTTAAAAAGATTAAATTTCGTTTCTTGTATTATGGTCACCCGCAATCTTCGGTAGACCTTTTCTGCTTCAAACATTTCTTGCCCTTTCACCCACCATGTGTCTCTACGGAATGTCACAGAAGTACTTGACCCACAGAGTTCACAAAGCTCTTGTTCCAGACATGTATAGCATTGGCCCGATGAATTGGCCTTTCTAAACAGGTTGCATGAATCTGTTTGTCAGTGTTATATGCATTCTATGGTGACAGTGTTAGCAGACTGTGCTTGCCTACTTGGATGTGCTACCTACAGATGTCAGAAGCATCGAGGGTGTGCCTAGATAACAGACAATCTTCTGAAAGCTTCTGATGTGTCCTTTAGTGCAGTATGTGTCTGTAATTTATTCAAGCTGCGGTGTTTTAGCCCCATTTCTGGTATGGGATGTGGCGTCGCAAGGTGCTGCATCCTCGTGTCTCAGGTTGCACCATTCATTGGCAGCACCTCCAAGTAGGCAAACACCACCTGCCAGTACTAAATCTCAGTGCAATACATTGAATTTTGTGGTCTGTTTAGAGGTCAGATTCAGTGGGCCCACACTGTATAGTATTGATGCGTTCGCAGCTTTTGAGGCATAGCCGGGCGGTTTGCCTATATGGTTTGGACACCGTAGCGTGGGGTTCAATTCCCAGCAGCGGACACATTTTTAATTCTTATTTTATTTAGGGTACTGGGAGGACCCAGAACAATCTCGAAAGTTCTTGTTTTAGTCTGTTGGCACATCTGTTCTTCTTGAACTATCTATACCCGTTTTCACCTCAAGAAAAAAACAAGTTTTGCACATTGTTCATATGCAGCGCAAAGTAGTTCTTATGAGATTTAGTTGTCGGAGGAAAAAGCAATGCTTTTGGCTTTTGGAGTGTGTACGGCTTAATAAGATAACATATATCTAACCTACAATTCACCCACAAATTCTCCTACATAAAGGGGGAAGTTAATGATGCTCAGCGAGAAGCCGGATTTTTTTTTACTAGTGTTCTTCACGTGAAAACGGGTGTAGTAGGAATGTGGTAGACGGTAGCGTGTTTATAAAAGTGACTTATAGCGCCTGCCTACAGTCAGTCGTCCGGCCGAGGCCCATTGCCACCGTTGCAGGGTGCACAATATTTTCATTTTGGAGGCACAGATTCGCCTTATAAAAAGCAGCTTTTCAGTTTTACTAACATCCACTGCTTCTGTTCGTGACAGCATTACCAATACAGCAATGGTCAGATTGATCCCAAGCTCTGAAACCAAAATTTCTATCTGGCGTCCGGTGCTGAATCGGTAATGCTGCAGGATATGTCAATACATGCAGTGGACGATGTACTGATTAGAGCAACTGGAAATAACTTGTTCTACTATCCTCTGATTACAGTGTGAGGCGGTTCCCAACAGTGGAAGTATGGAGAAGGAAGGCCTGATCAGGTCCCTGGCCTTTGCAAGGGAGAAGGAGCTGACAGTGCGGTCCCTGGCCACGGACAGGCACCGCTCAATCGCCAAGCACATGAGGGAGAAAGAGTCGGCTGTCCTCCACTTCTTCGACATCTGGCATGTGTCAAAGAGTAAATGGCATTTCTCATGGTCCTATTACCGTACATAAACAGACAACCTACACTGACTGCCGACATGGCAGAAGCAAAGTTCTGGTGACTCCAGCGTCTGCACTATCACTTGGTAATAAATGGGCACCTGTTGCCAGTTGGCAATGTTTAAAACCTGAGAAAGGTAGATGACAAAATGCCCTTGGCATGTCTGCAAGCCGTGTTGCCTAGCAGTGCTACTTCTTTCTGCCTTTTTATATGTTGGTAGTCAACCCTTGTGTTGTGACTCTCTTTTGAAGAGAAGCTGATGTGGCTTTGTAATTGGGATAAACCGTCTATGCCTGTTGGTTTCACCTACACAATCTCGACTATGATTCATTTCTCTTTGTAGTGTCTAAATTATGTCAATTAAATGAACTATAAACAGACTTAAAACTATGATTCTAGCAGCATGATGTTTTCTCTTGTGCTTTTCGCATGCACATCACTTGTTTCTTTAGTTTATTAAAATATGATGGGCAGTTTGCATTACCAGCTGACATAAAGGCAGCAGTGAAAAAAGGCGTGAATATGTTTTGCAAGTGAGATGCTTCCTTTTCCTGTGTTGAATATTTTCTTGCAGATGAGCTGTTCGAAAAACTAGACAAGTGCTAATTCTGCACACTGGTCGAACTGCAGGTGTCAAGAAGAGCCTTAACGCAGCCAGCAAGAGCCATGACTGTGGCTCGCTGGTTGGGTGGGCACAGCCGGCGGTCAACCACATGTACTGGTGTGCGACGGCGAGCCGGGGCAACCCTGACCTGCTGGTGGGTGCCTGGTCGAGCATGACAAGGCACGTGGTCGACGTCCATGCAGACCACCCCGGGATGTACACCAAGTGCCTTCATGAGCCCATCGAAGATGGTGAATGGCTGGTGCCAGGTCAGTAGACGTTTAACATGTCTCTAAAGGTTCTACTTAGCAAGTTGACTTTCGGTGATTTGGAGCAGACAGGAAAAATGAAATTCTTCTAATGAAATGTCCTTCGAGTTATGAGCAAGCACTCAAACAATACTTTTTTTTGTCCTCCACTGTTGGCAGTTTAGTAAACACTATGCATATCGCAAATGTATCTGCAAACGTCATCAGTGTTCGGTTTGTTGAAGGAGTACTTCACAACAGGCAATGCAGCTTTCTCATTTTTCAGCACTCGGCAGCTTGAAACTACAAGCAATGCAATAGTTTTTATGTCTGACCCCATTCACAGTTTCACTCTCAAAATATTGACCAGAGGTTATGAAGTGTGTCGACATCTAGATATCCGTTATACGAAACACCTTCAACTGCCAACAGCTTTGTTGCCAAATAGCCATGGTGGTGTTTTAGGCGTAGTCAGCATATTTGCATGCAAAACAAGCCTTTGAATTAACTAGGTTTGACTGTAGACTTTGAATTACCGCACCTATTTTACATAGACTTGAATGTATGATTTCCGGGACTGCACCCTTACTTGTAACTATCCAACCATTTAAAGAAAAGACTGAGTTGGAATGAGTAAAGTGTATAAATGAAAGAAATATAGACTTAAATGAAATGCAGTAATGTTTAAGGGACCATAAACACAATTAAAAAAAAAAAAGGTTTAGAAAATAGTGTGTTTGAACTCCTTGGAGGCTGAACACGCTCCTCAACGTTTTATAGAATTCGGCGACGCATATTTCATGCCTGCAAATAAACTGGCGAAACCGAAACTAGCTATCCTCAATTTCATTTTCTGGTCCTCCGAAATCAGAAGTGACGTCAACACCGAATTAATCGGTTTCGGTAGCATTTAGTGGCTGTCAAGCATGACTTTTGCGGCGAGTGGTAGCAAAGCAGAGACGTCGGGTGCGACGTCTCTGCTCTTGGCGCGCGGACAGGAGCCGCTTCTTTTGTCTTCTCCCACACCTACCAACTGCTTCTCCTGCTCTTCGGGATGTCGCTGTCATTGCTCCTAGTGCAAAGTTTGATGGAATTTCTAAATTGACACAAGGATCAGTTCCACCTAAAACTTACCAACATTGTTAGGGATGTGCCCGGAACATATTATAACCGTCAAATAAAACTTCAAAATCGTGTTTATTGTTCCAATGTAAATGGACTAAATGTTACTCAGGTAAAATTTCGTGCTGCAAGCCTTAATCTTGCTTTCTGTTTGTTTTAGACACACCTGCCCATGCCAGGTTTGTGGACGTCGTGTCCAGCAAGTCCCTACTCAAGGACCTGCGCCAGCTTTCCCCTGACACACAAACCTATGGATTGGAATCTTTCCATAGTGTGCTCAACCGCTTTGCACCCAAGTGGGCTGCCTTTCGCACAAAAGGCATGCTCGCCAGGTATGTACTCACAGAACAAATAGAGAAATGTTAGAGAAAGGAGGTGTTGGTGACTACCCACATAGCTAACCGGAAAGCAGGTGATATATTTGTGATGTGCATTTCAGCTTACTGCTTTCCGTTTTAGGATATGTTGTCATTTTCGGCATTCGTCCACTGTTATTTATTTTTTTAGAATAATAAGAAACCCTTTTAAAAGGCAACTCCACTCAATTTCGAAGATTTCGGGATAATGAGTAATTTCAAATTAAAAAGACCTAGTAAAACACACTACGTCGTTTGCTTCGCAAAAAATGGGATATATATTTTCAAACCTAATTTTAAACACGAGCGGAAATCGAAACCAAAACTTTGGCTCCGCCCGGCAACATTGGCCTCGGGCCGCCAAGTGTTGGTACCATCTCGTACCATCACGTGGTATGAGATGTCACGTGATCCTCAGCCCAACAACGGGCAGGATTGGGTCGGGCGTGTGGCTGGTGCGAGTGTCGTCTGCACCTCACTCTTTGCCACGTTTTGGTGTCTACGGCATTCAACGACGTCTGCACAACTGCGGCATAAGTCTGCACATGTGGTGTGCAGACTTATGGCTTATGTGGTGTCCGTAGTATGGATGAAACTCCGAGAGACAATAATCACAATCGGTGAGGCGATGATGGCGGTTGTGACACGGAAGACGGCGGGACCACGGCGGGCGGCCGGACGGCTCCCAAGAAACGCGCTGCGCAGGCGCGTTACACCAATCACGTGGACACCGCTAAGCGCCGAGAGGCAACGTTGCTGACGTCATGCGCTACGCTCGCCCGGATAAGTGAAAACAAGCTAAAGGGGGCCATGATAATGACATTTAGCTCAATGTTGGCTCTGCCCATGCCGTAGCCTTGACTGCGCTGTTGGTTGCGCCTGAATTCGCCCGCTCAAGTCAGCCGATTTCGGCAACTTGGCGAGTTGCAAAGTTTGCCGGACCGTTTAAGAAACATTTAGACAGAACTGCGTCGTAACATTTCACGTGTGGTCTTCCTAGGCGATACTGAAGAGGACTGCATTGTTTTTTCAAAACCAAAAATGAAGCGGAGTTGCCCTTTAAGTTCTTTCAGTGTTTCGGAATTCTTCAGAAAGACGAGAGTCTCAGTGTGAGGGTGTAATATGGTGGCCTAATTCTTTTTTTTAACATCCTGCTCCGTCAGAATCACCGTTGTTTCTCAGTAGATAGAGCGGAGTTGCTAAATATGCAACTCTATGTAGCTGCACGTATAGCCTGGTTGACCTACTGGGCAGTGCACTGGGCTCTCACGCTGGTGGCCGAGATTCAATACCCGGAACCATGGGTGCTTTTATTTTGCTACTTTACTGAAAGGTTCTAGAATGATTGCATAATTAGTGGTAAGTTCCGACTTAGAAAGTTCTATGCCCGATCGTGTTCGTTCGGATGTTCAAGAAACCAGTGTAACATGAAAGAAGAGTTGGCGGGACAGTATGGAGCCATTCATCACCAGTGCTCAACCCTGCTCTCATGCCGATATCGGTGCCTGCGACGTTCCATTATTCTAATTTGTTTCTTTGCCTTTGGGCACAGGTTCACCCCCATTAAATCTATCATTCACCCTGTTTGTTTATCGTTCCTTCGTTGGATTCGTGGCAGTGTGCAGGTTCCAGCACAGACCCAAATGACATGACTGCTATCTCCACTGCTAAGGAAGACCTAAGAATGCAGAAGTTTCATCAAAACATACCGGGCGGCATTTCAAAGCACATACTGTTTGTGGGAGCTGCACCACATTTTGTTTGTCTGCATTCTCTATTTGTTCAGGACCCGTGTAGCAGCGCTACACTGGAATGAGAACAGCGAAAGGGAGCAGGCCACTACTAAGGCGGGTGAAAGGCAGTGGGCAGTGAGATCGCCCAAGGCCAGGAAAGGGCATCACACTGTCTGCCCCCAAAAGACAAAAGTCACATATGGTATTCTGAAAGAATTCTACTCTGTGGTCTTTTTAATTGGTATTCCTGTACTATTAGGAGATCAATTTACGTAGTGACTACAGCTGATGACTGATTAGTCACAGGGTGTGTACCAACCGGGAGAACCTGGAATTCTCAGAAGATTTCAGTCATCAGGAAAAGTCTGGGAATTATCAAGGAAATCATCAAAAAGTTGACTAAATCAAGGGAAATGACCAATGAAAGTGTCACAGTGGCGCAGAAGAGGGCGCGACGGTATCACATCAGCAAAGCCATGCTGAATGTTGCCGAAACAGTCCGAGTATTTTATCGAAATAGGTAAAAATCTGGAAAAGTCACAGAATTTGACATCAGACACCACCATGCATCAAGATGTGTCGTCTGCCCCACGGCATTGGATTTATACGTCAAAAAGATAGTATGTCATCTACTCCATGGCATCAGCACCTTCTAATTTAATGAGAGGCACCCTCTTTTTAATTTCACATGAGGGCCATAATCACCCACGCAAGGTGGAAAATAGGCAGCTGAGGAGGAAGAAGGTTTCACCCGTGCAAACTTTTCTTTCCGGGACAGCGGGTATAAATCTAAATGCGAGCTGACACCTGTTTTATGTGATATAGATGTGTAGAGTATACAATTCTGAGCAGAAATTTATGAAGGCGCATATGTTGTATCACGGTGCTACCGACTTTGCACCGAAACTGAAATAACTGGAAGTAAAATGTTTTGATATAAACTACAGCTATCAAAAAATATGATAAATTAATTTTTCAGATTACGTCGGAAAGCTCGTGGCTCGGGCCGTGGCAATCTGCAAGGACATCGGACCTCTGAGGGAGGTCTTCAAGCTTGATGCGAGGACGCCGCGTCTGCCAAACCTGAACCGGAGCTGCGACAGACCACCAAAGGAGGATCTGGTTGCTGCCAGAATCAGCCGTTTTGGAAAGAAGGCGCCCAACGCAACGGAGTAATGGTTTGCTTTGCAAGCACAATACCAGCGCACTCCACTTGCTGGTTGAGTTCTTGTTGCAGTTGGGGCTGTTGTAACATGAGATGGAGTGGGGCTCTGGTCGCTCGCACTGTGTATTTGAGGAAGCTGGCATTTTGCCTGACGACTTTTCCGTTTCGAGATGCCTTGATGCAGGATCCTCGGAATGAGATAACAGTGAAAGACCTGGGGTCATAAAATGGGGTAGATTTGTTGTGCTGCTGTTCTCTGCAGAGCGCGAGTTGACTTGAAATGAAGTTGTACGTTTGTGCGTAATGTCACTTGTTGACATATGCCTTGTCGTATCTTTTCCTCGCTGCATCTGTTTGTTGTGCCTCGATCTCGGTGTAGCCTTTGTCACCAGGGTTAGGAAGTACTGGTAACATGTTGCACACTTCCCAGTTCTTTGACAGATGAGGTGGTGACGGCTTGGTGTTCACTGCGAGCACCTTTCTTTTGTTTTCGTCGGGCTGCTAGAGTTTTGTTTTATGATGCTGACGTTGTGCTTCGCCTCTTCGAATAGCCGGCCTTGCTTGAGTATTCCTTGTACGTCGAGGTCGTGTTGTATGGTATAGCGGCGCAGCCTTGAGGACTTTGTCGTGATGAGGATCTGGTTTTTAATCTCGGTGTCCAGGCCAACGAACACACAGTGCCTCGCAAGCTGCCGCAGTCAAGCGTAAAACAGGTTGAGTGACTCGCTTCCCACCTGCTTCGTCTGCTGAAAGCGGTAAACTTCGAAGCTCGTAGTTACCTGGGGTAGGAGTAAACGTCGAGCTTCCTGCGTGTAGCTGTGTATAGAGCAGTTGTGTCGCTGCAGAACTTTGCTGCGGTTGAGACAGGCGCAGTCACTGGAGGTTCTGGTAGCATGCAGCAAGTGTCGTAGAGGTCTTCTCCGATATAGTGCAACTGAAAGGCGGTGTTCCTGGCATCATTTTGATTCCACAGGCGACCACAAAGTCCTCGAACCGTTTTACCCACATTGACCACTCAGTGCCGACATTATTGGTATCAGTGACACGAGCGTCAAAGGAGGGAAATGGGGGGGAGCACGCCTTAGTCCATCTTGCTAGGCAGGTGTCATTTGTTGGATGCGTCGGGGTCCATTCCACTTCATTGCAGGGCGATCCTTATGCTGTTCTTGCACATTTTCTTGGCCATTTGTAGCGTTGTCTGCGTTTAGGAGGGATGAATTTCGTCCGGTTATGATTCGGAACAAAACATGTTTATTACACATTCATAGCTATCTCGGATCATGTGTCCATGGATGTGTTAGAATCTCCTAGGATACTGCACTATTGAACTGTTCATTACAGTACAGTAGACGAAAGAGGCATGGCCTGGTTTGTGCCTACCAGGTTGAAGGAGAGGGAACGAAGTATGAGCTTGGTCTGGCTTTATTTTCACAGTCCCCACTTTTTTGCAATTCAGGCAAAGGAACATACCCCCGAATTTTGTGAATTCCAAAAGTGAGAATTGAGGGCCTCTAGAGGCCAGTGTTTTCTTTCGCATGCTCCTAAATTTCACTAATCCTTCAATTCGCGAAATTCACCAAATTAAGGGCTTGCAAAAGTAAAGGGTTTTACAGTATTGGGACAGCCAGTCAGCGTGCCCATATGCAGGGCACACCAACACTCGGATACAGCAGTTCTCACACAAACCCCCAAGGGTCCTCAAGAGCATTCATGGGGGGGAGTCGTCTTCCTTGCATTAGTGCATGTCAAATCAAGGACACGAAACAGGGTGTCCGATGTTGGCACATTATTGTCTAGCGTACATCACCTTTTACACTGATTGCAAGCTGCGAGTACCACTTCATATGTAGCACAATCTGAGTACCTGCAAATGCACTATGTTTTTGGGACCTTGCCTTGCAGCCTTGTTTTGTGTGTGTTTAGTTGATACGTTTCGTTTACATCCCGTCTGCCCCCTTTTCACATAATAAGTCTTGTGTCAAACTGATAGGGGAGGACGCTCACTCGAGTCAAGCCTCGGCTAAAGTGCGATGTGCTTATCAGTTTGTGCTGAGCCCCGAGTGAGCATCCTCTCCTTGAAGCAGAATGAAATTGCCCGCAGTGCCCCCGCCAGCCACCGCCTCGGTCACGCTCTCCCAGTGGGTCCTTCGTATTGCAGCACATTGTACATGAATAGTGCAAAATAAACAGCAATGCTTCGTAAGCTGTAGGAAGTACTGAATGTAGAATGACTACATGAACAGTGCAAAATTGATCGCAATGCTTTGTAAGCTGTGGGAAAACCAGCATCAGTGCTTGAAGTTGTATGTTTGTTTTAATCAGTCGAAATGTTTTGTTGTCTGGGTGCATAAAGTAGTATGCTTGCAAAAACTTTAGTGAAACAATGTGGCGTTTACAACATTTTTATTCTACATCATGAAACCCCGTATACGTTTCCGAAGGGAATTCATCGTGGATCCTCTTGACCACGCAGGCCGGTAGAACACGTCGATTGCGACGTCCCAGCCTCCGCCACATCCACCGCACGAATTGGTGATAGGCCGCAAAACGAAGCCTGGAAAATTTATAAGGACAAAGCTGGTCAATTACCACTGATACGAATGTTTGAAGTGCCAGCCAAGACACACTACACATCTGGATGATACTATACTCAGTTTCAAGTTGTGTGCAGTGCAGGCACAGCTTTCCACAGTGTTTTGTGTGCACAAGCACTTGCACGCAGAGGGTGTGTTTGGAAGCCACGCGCTCGTGCCTGTGCCTACACTGCACACAAGTTGGGACTCCGAGTATAGGGCAGGTTTATGGAATTGAGGTGCATGTGACAAATGAAAATACATCAAGATTTACTTTGGAGTATCTAATTAAGTGAAACGCAGGACTACAGAGATGTGATGTTTTCAAAAGCTGGACGGTGCAATAAGATGCAATGAATGCCTGACCATGTTACTTGTGCACATAGGAGACTTGACCGCATGTAATAAAAAAACAGCATCATGTGTCGAGCTTGAATGTTTTGTTTTACTGATTGTCTGTACTTTGCGATTTCTGGCTGAACAATATAAGCGGGTAATAGGGCCACTTCATGCAGAGCACACCCGCCTTTTGTCCTATTACACAAGACCTTGTGCTCAAATAAACTGGGCAACTTCAGAGAGTTGTGATGCAGTCTCCTAAACGTAGTGTTGTGTTCTTCCATGGGAATATCTGCATGGTGACGTGCGTGTGCGCCACCCAAAATGTTTTGTCAGCCCCAGACTGTCGCATGTTTAAAAACTCCTGCATTATAAAAAATAAGGCATACCTTTTCTTTTTTCACAAAGGGAAAACCCAAAAAATTAGACCTTGATAAACTATTCCTTTTTTTTTTCTTCTTCTTTTTGTATGACTGAAATTGATGTTACAGGCACGAGTGCGCTGTCTTCGACAACGATTTGCCTTCACGAACGCGTGCTTAGCAGGCCCAAAGTTTTGCGCTCGCTTCCGTTGCTTCCTTTTCGCTTGGGATTAGTATGAAGTGAGGTCTGGAAGTATAAGCTGGACTAAGGAGAGGCTCCGTGACCACTGAGTACTCGAGCTTCTTTACTTGGCCAGCACATTCCGAAGGATCCCAGAAAGGTCTGCACAGAGTAGGCCACAAGCATTTTGTTCCACTCCAGTGAGCATCCTAACTATGCAAAGCTTCACACAGCAGGGGACAGCTCGTCTGCATGGTCATTGCATGCATATTTGCAGACGGGAGTGGGGTCGGTACTGTGCGCGAAAGACTTGCCGTGTGCATCACACTGGCGTTTTATTACATTCTAGTCGAACTTATAAAATCACCGAACAAAATTTTAGGAGAAGGTTTCCCAGAGATAACTTTCTCTTGGTTATAAGGGAAAACCTGCGCTGGCGTATGCAGTACGTGCTAGCGGGGTCGCGTTCTGCAATCCCTGAGCGCAGGAAGCATGTCTATCAAATGAGCAACACTTCCCTAAAAGGAAATTTCAAACAAACTACGCACTTCTGTTCTCGCGGCGCCGGGTGACGACCTGCCTCCTGCAGAGCCCAGAACGCGACTTCGAGCACGCCGGGCTGGAGGCAGATCGGTGCGAAGTTGTTGTGCTCCGTGATGCACCCTCCCGGGCGAGTCGCGACCGCGGGGGGACACTCCCTGCAGCAGATGCACTCTTTAGGCGTCGGCATGATGCCGCACCTCTTGCACGAGCACCTGAGATCAGAATAAGCCAGTGTCAGACGAAAGCTACCTGCAAACAGCATGTGCGATTATTACCATGCCGTCGTGGTCAGCCGCCACGAATCTGGGTCCGGAGTCGGGCTGGGGCTTCCGTCGAGCACCGCCCGCGCGTCCTCTTCACTCAGACATTTCGACGGCGTCCCCGCGTACGGAACGAGCCCCAGTGACTCGCTGTACTCCAGCATCTGGAGCTCGACCTCGTTGAGTTCGCCTCTCCAGAGGCCGGTGGCCATGTTGATCGCAAGCATGCGGTGACGCGGTCACGTGGTCGTGAGCGGACGAGTTCTCGCCGCTCACTGACGGCGTTAGAGAGAGGAATTTCCCGGAACCCCGCGCCTACCCAAGCGACGTCACTGCGCACGTGACCCGGAAGACGATGTACGAGTTGAGAGGCGGCAAAAACCTGGATCTTTTTCATTTTTTTAAATAAAAACTACGGTATCCAGGCAAAATCTGTTTTCTGTAGTTCACTTCAGAAGTGTCAGGCAGCAACTTCCACAATTATTTAAGCAAAGCCCTGAAATTGTTGCACAGCTCCTTTAAGATATGTCTCCTGCAAGCACACAGCAATGGGCTGTAGCTCATCCAGAAAGAAATGAATGTCATCAATATTTTGCAGAAGACTTCTACAGTTCCACTGTATAAAACTATACGAGTTCATGTTAAAAACGGTTTAAAGTAACAACACAAGAAAAAAGGAAACCTGCCCTAAGTGCCCTGGGGCGGTTTGGGTGGGGTTACTCGCGGATTGAGCTTTTTCTGGGATGACTTTTTAATAAGCCTTGCGTCATCAGGTGGGACCGAACAAGGGGGAGGAGGTTCACCAAGTTCCATCCGCTCCTCCTCAGGCGGAACGGCTGAGGGAGCAGCTGGTACGGGCACCTCCTTACGTGTCGAGGCCTCTCCTAAAGCCTTAAAACGAAAACTACCCTCCTTCTTCTTGGGAGGCGTCCGAGTGACCAAGGCAGGCACATCGTTCGATGGCCCGTCCTTTAGAATGGAAGAGGCACTAGTGCCTTCTCCCTGAGGCTGGTGTTGCCACCTCTCCTCTTGTCTCCCATCCATTGGCACAGAGGCATCTCTTGCCTCTGCACCATCTGGAGGCCCCTGTGGTTTCTTCGGTTCCAACGACAAACGGAGTCGTGGAGCGAATCTTTGTGAGGCAGGGGGAGGTGGTGGAATCACCAGGTCATTAGGACAGACCTGGATTCCTACCAAAGACTTTGATGGCACACCCCCTGCACGTGCCACCAAAGAGTAAGAACCCTTCTGCAGGAAGGAGAATCGCTTCCTGGCTTCGGGGAATGAAATGTTCTCTTTCACTTTGAGTGTTATAATTTCTTTTTCTTGTTTCCATTTTTTGCACGATCGGGAATAAGCAGGGTGAGGTTCACCACAGTTGATACAGCAAGGTGCATTAGAGCAATTCTCTGCAGGGTGATCATTTTTGCCACACTTGGCACATGTTGTCTTCCCACGGCAGCTCTGGGCGCTCTGGCAATGAAAGCAACGCTGAGGGTTTGGCACATATGGCCGTACTCTACAGTTCAGATATCCGGCTTTCACTGATTCCGGAAGCGCCCTCAGCTCAAAAGTCAGAATGACATGCTTTGTCTTCACCTCTTGGCCGTCCCGTCGAAAAGAAATTCGTTTGGCAGCAATGACTCCTTGGTCACGAAGGCCATCGACAATTTCATCTTCGGGGGATTCTAGCAGGTCATCTTCTGATATTATGCCTTTTATAGTGTTCAAAGTGCGGTGGGGTGATACAGTAACCCTGTAGTCAGACACCACGTTGAGTGCCAGCAGGTCTAAGCTTTGTTGAGCGGTTACAACTTCAACGAGGAGATCTCCAGATGGCATTTTTTTTGCTTTAAAATTTTTTCCGATTACAGATTCAAGAGTCTTAGAGACCAGGAACGGGGATAACTTGGATAAAGGTTTTTCCGTTTCGGAATGCATGACGAGAAATCGGGGAAACTTCTCCACGGGTGCAAATGCTTCTATGACGTGTATTTCGGTCCGGACCCTTTTCAGGGCCCGATCAGGTTTTTGGTTTAGTTTAGAACCCATAAGAAATGGGAAGGCGTTCGGCATCTGTAGCGCACCACCCACCACGGAGCCCAACATGGGGATAGGTAATGCGCCATAGCAATAAGGGTTTTGCTGACGACATTACGCTATCAGTGCTACCAAGACACTATAACCTAGTGTGGGTCCAGACAAGAGGTCTATTGCCACCCAAGGTTAGCCCTTGCCGCCAAAGAGGGAAGAAAAAGGAGCAAGAGAAATGAGAAGGAAAAGAAGGAAACAGGACAGGTAAAAGTGAAAGATCGGAGGGGATAGTAGAAGAAAAGGCGACTAGACTGAATCATCCTGGCCGGGCCTTACCAGGACTCCCGTCTACGAGAAGCAGGGGCCGAAGTGGTGTATTGCCTCACCCGGGGGGCCCCGAAGGGTCCAAACCTACCCCGGGCTCGGCTCAACCACCAGGATGCCCTTTTCCTCGGACACGGGAAAGCCACGCACAGCCAGACGTGGGCGGGCGAACCCGCATGGCTCGGGGTCCGTGGAGACGCCACTCTCCAAACACCTGCTTTCACAGGTGCCCCCTGCGGGGTCGCTGTCCACTGAGGCGCCATACAACGTCGTGGTATGATGTTTCACCGAGCACTTCGCCTACCCCGTGAACGAAGTATACGAATTGTCGCGTTTCCATCGGTAGGTCCAACAAGCAGACCGTAGATGCGTTCTACGCGGAGCTGATGCGTCTAGTAAAGAGCTGTCACTATGGCACCCCGGAGGTCGAGGAACGTCTTGTCAGGGATCGTTTTGTTGTCGGTCTTCGGGACTCTCAGCTGTCTGACCGTCTTGGACGTGACCCGAAGCTCACGCTCAAGGACACGTGGGTACAAGCGCGCCAAACTGAGGACGCTGGCAAAGAAAAGGCAACCAAGGCAGGCACGGATGAATCTGAAACTCCAGAAGGTCAAGCTGTCGATCCTGACGCGACCAAGCTCGCAGGTCGTCTCAAGCGCCGCGGCACTAAGCCTAACGCCACCAACGCTGCTCATGACCAGTCGTCTCGCGTCTCTACGGGCAGGCCTGGTTCTTGTTTATTCTGCGGACGTTCACCTCATCCTTGTGATGACTGTCCCGCACGCAAATTGAAGTGTAACTTTTGCCGTAAGCAAGGGCACTTCGCAGAGGTCTGTCTCTCCTGCATGAAAAAGCAAGCCAAAGTAGGCACTCTGCAGCTTTCTGTAGTCGATGCCGGAAAGAAGGCTAAGTACATTGATGTCACCGTGAACAACTATACAGCTGTATCCATGCGTCGTTCAGCACTTGCTCTGGGAACGAGGAAGGGTCATATTGGCTCCGCGGAACTGGATGCATGCTGCGACCTGCACAAGCAAGCGCACAGTGTAAGCGAGCCGCATCGCGTTGCTGTTCCCATGCCCACTCAAATTGAATTGATCCCCAATCTAAACCGAGCGCTATTCCTGCCAATATGTCTTTTGTTTTCATATATCTGTGGCCTCTCCCTTCTTTCAACTGCAATACTCTCACTATATGTATCTTTTACTCCTTCGTCGCACTTCAGATCATGTACGCTGAGACTCCTGAAAAGCTCGAGGCTGCCATAGAGGACATGCAGGCCAAGTCCCACCAGGCCTATATCCAACGAGTGATGAGCTTCCTGAAACGCAAGACCGAATGGGTGCTCCTTTTCCGCAGTGACCTCACCACAAGAGGTCATAACACAAACAACTTCGCGGAAGCATCAATTCAGGTACTGAAAGATATCGTACTCCAGAGACGCAAGGCGTACAATGTTGTCGCCCTCGTTGACTTCGTCGCCTCCGTCTGGGAGGATTACTTCTGCAGAAAGCTCCTGGCACACGCCCACAACAGGAAACCTATGCACCAACTGCAGTACGACCGGCTGCTCAGCCGGACGCCTGCCTCTGCTGCACAAGCCATCACAGCGCTTGACACCCATACCTACCAGGTACCCGCAGAATGGCTGATGGCAAGGTGTACAAAGTACAGCGACGTGGGAATGTGCACCTGTGCAGTTGGGTGGCAAGGTGCCTTCTGCGAGCACCAGGCCCTTGTTCATCACCGATACGGAGGGACTTTCCCCAACGCTCCTCTTCTCTCGGCCCACGAATGCCACCAGCTGGGGCTCCTGGCTATGGGAGACAAGTGCCAGCCTGTGGCTTTCTTACAAGGCTTCCAAGAACTGCCGGGGCAGCCGTCCACCAGCACTGCCATGGAAGAAACTGCAGTGACAGCAGAGCCAAGCAGTGCCCCTGCAATGGAACAGCAACAGCTGGCCAGCCTCGACGACTCCCCTTCCATTGATCCACAAGAGCATCGACAGGTATGAACCCGAGAAACTTATTGACGAACCCCTAGCGAAAATTCTAATAGGAATATCTATGAGACTAATAGACATTTCTATGAGACTAATAGGAACTCCTATAAGACTAATAGAAATGCCTATGAGACTAATAGCAACTCCTATGAGACTAATAGGAATCCCTATAAGGCTCATAGCAACTTGTATGAGACCAATAGGAATCTCTATGAGACTAATAGACATCTTTATCACACGAGTAAAGATGTGTATTAGACTAATACAAAACTATATTTGTCTAATAGAAATATTTATTGGGTTATGTATGCCTTCTATTAGAATATAAAGTTTCATAGACTAATACAAGCATTCTGTTAGTTTTATAGAATAATAATTAGACAAATTTACATATTCTATTAAACAAATGGAATGCTCATTAGACTACTTGTAACACAGCTATTCTATTACAATATTAAATGGGCATATTAGAACAATTGAAACTTGACACCACCAAATAAATATGAACAAATAACTGAGATTTATTAGATGTGGAAAACCTTAATTGTCTATAGGTGAGCTGGTCCCCACCGATACTTTCTAGCTGGCTAACAGAAGTTTCTGCATTGTAAATTTTTTTTTATCAAACATAAGAGTGAATGTTCACAACAAATTGTCTTCATTCGATGTACAACTCAAAAAGGCAAAGATGGACCATTCATTCATCCATTTATCTTTTGTGCTCATGAACAGCTTTCTACTTTGTAATGAAGTACAATATACATATAGCAAAACGGGGTACGAAAATTCTAGTGATAATTAAGGAAACACTTGAACGCTATATACAAGATGGGTTAAAAACGTCACTACATGGAGCTATGGTACTATAAAAGTTTTGAATGTGTGTCATGAGGCAAGTTTGGAAGATTTGATTAATTTCGGGAACCACGAGTTCCAGAAATAACAGGCAAGTTCGAAATTGGAACTTAGCTGTGCCCAATAACAGCAGAGTGAGAAGAAAAATTTGCAAGAAAAAATATGTGTAGGCTCTTTGGCTGTCGGGACCGTGAACGCCGGATTCGCCGTCGCCGGCACATTCTTGCGATATCGATACTGCCGCTGCGCTTGCCTGCGGCACGGCAGCGCTTGCTCTTTTCCTGCGTTGTAGCTCTGTTGTTCCTCAGTATACAGCGCCAGGCTCTAAGTACTTTTCTCGTTTGCATGAGCAAGCATTTTGGCGTGAACGAGACATCCAAGGAGTAAACCGCCGTGGAACCACCTGAATCGTCCGCCATTTTTCTTGTTGAAAGATCTATGGCTATGGCTATGGATAGAAGTGGCTACCAGAATGGATTTCATTGACTATTATCCCTGTCACCTTTACACTTGGTGCCTACAGTCGAACCCGTTTATAACGAACAGTAAGAAACGCTACGATCAGTTCGATATAGCAGTAGTTCGATATAGCAAATACCATTTGCAACAAACTTTCACGATGCGTTGGTTGTAAGGCGAGAACTTCTCTTTCTTTCTCATCTCTTTATTTCCGCCTTGTAACAATGCGCTGAAAAGTTTTTTTTTTTTCTTTTTTTGGCATGCGTGCAGAGTTTGTTCTTTTAGCTTACCTCCCCTCCTGAATCGCTTCTCTTCGCTCACTTTTCTTCACAACTTCAGCTTTTGGAATTTTCTTACTTTTCTACTTTTTTTTTTTTGGTGTGTGTGTGTGTGGCGGGGGGGAGGGACAGGTTAAAAGGCGATTATTTGCGCGTTTTTTGAAGCCTTCCCGGGAAGAAAAATTTGATATAACCAATATTTTGTTCGTTATACAAAGTATTTTTTACACGCATTTTTATTTAAATTTTTTGTGAGTTCGATATCAACAATAATTCGCTGTACGTGGGTTCGCTCTAAACGGGTTTAACTGTAGCTGCAGGCGTTCGTTCTTGTGGCTGCAGGGCGGCATTTGAAACATAGCAAATTTTGTTAATAAGTATTATAATACAAATTATATTTTAAGATTATTTCGTACCAACAGATGAATTCACGTGATGGTAGTTGTCGCACTGGTGGCGCCGCAGCGGCAGCATACTGCACGTCCTTCAAAACTTCGAATTGACAGCAGTCCTTAATGCCGCCAACAAAAGAACGTTAAACAAAAGTAACACGTGTGTCGGAACCATGGTCGGAACAATCGTATCCTGTCTACTTGTGCGGAAGCATGCATGTGTACGTCCAGTTTTAGGACGGCGACGCAAACGTCGTTATTCCGTGTAACGATATAAAGAATTTGAGCGCAGTTGGACTTACGGACTTCAACGCCAACCGTTGGTACGACGTGTGGTGGAAGGACACCAATCTGGCTATTTTCGAGCCCAAATCATGAAGATGTATGGTAAGTATCAAAGCATGAAATTTATTTATATATATATATATACAGGGTGTCACAAAAGAAAATTTACACGGTCTTTTTCACCGCAAAAATAAACTAGGCATCGCCGAACGCTCATCCTCCGCCCAAAGGTAGAGCTAGAGGTCACAACCAGATGCCAAAGTTTCAGCCCGATCCGATAAATCAATCAAAAGTTATAAGTGATTTTCTGAAAACTTCAATGGGAAAATGGAGCCCATTTTCGCTTGTTTCCGGTTTCTGGTGCCATAGAGCCCCATGTGTTTGAAAACGCCGCCGGCCGCCATTTTCCCATTGAAAATTTCAGAAAATCACTTATAACTTTTGATTAAGTTATCGGATCGGGCTGAAACTTTGGCATCTGATTGTGACCTCTAGCTCTACCTTTGGGCGGAGAATGAGCGTTCGGCGACGCCTAGTTTATTTTTGCGGTAAAAAAGACCGTGTAAATTTTCATTTGTGACACCCTGTATATATATATATATACCTCTTCTCTTTAAGTGTGCGGTGCATTTGTAGCATCTATAGAATGGCTGTTCCGTTCGCGGTTACGACGTGCATTTCTCTCGGCGACCTCGTGAGGTTGCTGTAGATTTGGTGGCAAAAAGAATGGCAAAAACATATAAAACACCTCTTAGGGATGATGGTCCGGAGGTATTTCTTTAGAAATGTGCATGCGGTTCCCGAAAATTTTATGTATCAGGTTTTTTTAACTACCTGCCGTAGCAGTCTCCCCTGTCAATCTTTGTCAAGTTGTAAGTAGTGTAACATGGAAGGAGAACTGAAAATAATTCATACAAACATTTGCTTTGAAATAGGAGTAAAGTGGTCGGAGGCCCAATTCTACCTATTTCAGCCTAAAATATAATTAGTTGATGTCGAGTAGGGATGCTCAAAAATTTAAATTTCTGATAATACATTCAATATCGCTCTCAATTTGTCATCTTAATTGAATAGTATTTAAAAAAAAAAAGTTATAATTATTTGCAAATATAAACGGCTCAGCGCTGCGAGTTTCCCCTAAAGGGGCACTAAAGAGGTTTTTGAGATAGTCTACTCTTGGTCATGCGTTATTCTAGAGGCTCTAGCATCCCAAGAATCTAAACATTATAATCCTGCACCACCGATTTTCGTATTAAAATAGGATAATCAATTTTTCTGCGATTAATCAAAGAACCCAAACCGTTGCCGAACAACGAACGGCGCTTGTCAGCCAATCGAGCGGTGGTTTCTTTCGTCGAGTGATCCGAATGCGAGCTGCTTCTCGGGTTGTTTTGCCAGCACTCCTTACTCAGGTGCACAAAGTGAAGGTTGCGGGGCCTGAGAGTGCTTCCAAAACTAGCCCAGAAATGGTTCGAAAGAGGGTTACCGGATGCTGCTAAATTGTTTTAGTGGTCGGAGGCCTAAACAGTTTGTGTCCCTCTGGCTTCGACCGCCTTGTGATAGCATTTCGGCCCTCATACAAATTATGTCTACCGTCATTTTCAACTGCAAATTCCCTATCTCTTTCAGGCTTCTTTGGGCACTATGTGGACACAACCTGCACTGCCGAGAAAACACGCAAGGTTCGCAAGGCAGGGATGAACAAGCTTCTGGCTAGGAAAATTGCTGATTTAAATAGAGAGGTTTGCGTGAATGTGAGATTTGTATTATGTACTTAAATAAACTGTATTATCTTAAATAAGCTACACCGTGTACTCTCACTTGGCAAGACACGTAATGCAGTAGGTAAATAGCATGCTAATATAACTAAAACTAATAGGCTACACCAATACAACTAATAGGCTAATACAACTAATAGACTAATACAACTAATAGGCTAATACAACTAATAGACTAATACAACTAATAGGCTAATACAACTAATAGACTAATACAAAGTGTCAATAAACCGATAGGCTATTAGAAATTTCTATTAGAATTTTTGCTAGGGACTTATGCAGATCTCATATCACGAAAGTCCTCAAGAAAAGGAGGGGAGTTCCAAAAACCTGCAATTTTTATGTTTTCATATTTAAGAAAGAGAATTGGAAGATAAACATGCGGTCGTTCTTAGACATACATGTAGAGTGTCACAAAGACATATAGGGTGATTTCAGATAAGATCGACCAAAGGATGGCTAGTCGACATTTTCAAATCAACTGATGTTTTTATATGTTATTGTCTAGTGTCTGGTATGAACGAATCCAAACTTAGTTTTGACTAGAAAAAATACTTGGGGACAGGAAAAATCGTAAGGCATGAGGTGGTGGACAGTTGCATGAAGGCGCACTGATGGAGGGGGCCCGTTTGAGAGTGAATAACTAAAGCGATAACATTAGGAGAACTCTAATATGTTTTAGGCACAAACTATGGGTATAGCTTGCTTGTAATATAAAGTAATCATATTTATTTAAAATTTATTTTTCTAAAAATGGACAAACATGCCTGCTCAAACGACAAATGGCAAACTTTGGAGGTCTGTATCTCATGAAATAATTTAATTATTATGATATAATTTGCAGATATTATTCTACTAATATATAGCTAATATTTAAAAAATAACTAAGGTATCTGTGTGATACAATAATTAGGATATATTTAGTCAAACATAGAAAAAAAATCAAACAATGAAAAATTCCAATG